TTAAAATTTTAATTTTGACAAATTAAATCTTAAAATTTTATCCTTGTTTTAATCTGGTCTCTCCGTCCATCTCTGTCATATTAAACTAACAGAAATCCAGACATAATTTAAAATTCAAACCCACATGTTCAATCACCTGTATCTCCCTCATCGTAATTCCATTTCGCCTTATTTTTATGTCGTTGGATTTAACTCATAGCCTAATTTTTATTCCACTCATCATACGCCTTGTTCCGCATCTTTTTACTTGCTATCGGAACTCTGAAAGTTGGCCAAAAATAAAATTTTTGTCTCTTTGAGCAAAATTTTTTGATTCAAATCTACATATTCAAGCACTTATATCTCCTTCATCGTAACTCTATTCCACCTCATTTTTGTGTCATTAGATTCAATTCATGGCCTAGTTTTTATTCCACACCTTATATGCATGTTCCACGTCTTTTTGCATGCTGTTAGATCTCTGAAATTTGGCCAAAAATAAGCTTTTTCTCTCTTTTTTTTTTCTTCTTCTCCTCCGCAGCTCCTCCTCCTGCCTTGCTACTACTGCTTCAAAAGTATTTTTTTTGAACTTTTGGTTTGTTAATTGTAACAACCCTCATACTGCTTACCGATTAATGACTGATTGATTACCGATAACCATCGATTACCGTTAAATTGAATTGATTATGACTGATAATTGAACTGAATAAACTACGGAACTGACTGACTGAAAACTGGAACTGAATTGACTAAGTATGTACGTTTGAATTGCATTTTATCTGTTGATTGTTTATTTGATCTGTTCATATTTTAGTGTTTAAACTACTAATTGAAGGCCTTATCGGCGGCCGAATCCGGAATTGATTAATGTTTTATGATCGTCATAATTAATGTGATTTTATGGTATAATTATCTGAAAACTGATTAGGTATGATTAATTGAGATTAAAATGAGTTAATTGCAAGTTTGCCGTAATTACCAAATTGCCACCCTTAGTGGCCCACTCAATACATATATTTGAGCCTCATTACACCTTGAATCAAAACACATTTTGCTCAGCCATTCTCCTTGCTTTGCCGACTAGAAAGAGGAGTAGAGTGTTTCAACTTGATTCATCTTTTGAATTGCTTGGAATTGGAGGAATTGAGAGGAGTTCTTGCTAGATTAAACCTCTAGACTTGCATTCAAGGAACCTAGGTATGAATTTCATCTTCTCGATTTGTCTTTAAGTGGATTCATGCATGGTTCATGTTTAATTGTAGAGCTAAGTCATGAATTGGTTCATTAATGGTGAATTGAAGCTCATTTCATGCATGCGTGTTTGTAATATAGATGTTTGAGTTGTTTTCATGGCAAAAGGGTACATGAATGTTCATAATTTTGTAATGGTCCATGTTTTCAACTTGTTTTTGGATCAATTGGCTCCTTAGAGCATCAAACTGGAACCTCAAATTGATTTGAATTCATGCATGTTTGCATGTTCTTCATATTCTTGAAAAATAGTTTGAAATTGAGTTTGAATTAAACACCCTTGGGCTTGATTTCTCAAATTGAGCTTTGAACCATGTTATTCTATGTGTTTATAAATGTTTTCCAGAAAATGGGCCCAAGAGGATTGGTTTTGATGCATTTGAATGTGAGTTTGAGCTTGGAGGTGCAATCTGGAATTCCCAGATTCTGCACTTCCGCTCGAGCAGGGTAAGTGGCGCTCGAGCGTGGAATCCGAGCATCCAGTTTGAATTGTTACAACTTATAATCTCTCCCTAAGAATTAAGCCCTTAGAAAAGTCATTATACACAAAAATTATAATGTTTATATGAATAAATATATATAACATTTTCTTTTGACTTCTGATAAAATTACATACGCTTTGTACAGGGGGACCGTGCTATCACAACACCCGCTGTGACGGCTCGATTTAGGCTTGGATGATTTTATTTTAATAATTCAAGTCATTTATATTAGGGTTAATTATAGAAAAAAATTTCAGAATTTCACATATTTTTCAATTTAAATTTTAAAATTTTAATTTTGACAAATTAAATCTTAAAATTTTATCCTTGTTTTAATCTGGTCTCTCCGTCCATCTCTGTCATATTAAACTAACAGAAATCCGAGCAAAATTTAAGATTCAAACCCACATGTGTCAAACACCTGTATCTCACTCATCGTAACTCCATTTCGCCTCATTTTTAGGTCGTTGGATTCACCTCGTAGCCTAGTTTTTATTCCACTCCTCATACGCCTTGTTCCGCATCTTTTTACATGCTATCGGAACTCTGAAAGTTGGCCAAAAATAAAATTTTTGTCTCTTTGAGCAAAATTTTTTGATTCAAATCTACATATTCAAGCACTTATATCTCCTTCATCGTAACTCTATTCCACCTCATTTTTGTGTCATTAGATTCAATTCATGGCCTAGTTTTTATTCCACACCTTATATGCATGTTCCACGTCTTTTTGCATGCTGTTAGATCTCTGAAATTTGGCCGAAAATAAGATTTTTCTCTCTTTTTTTTTTTCTTCTCCTCCGCAGCTCCTCCGCAACTCCTCCTCCTGCCTTGCTACTACTGCTTCAAAAGTATTTTTTTGAACTTTTGGTTTGTTAATTTGCCCAATTCTTTGTATATATATATATTCAAATGATCAAAACCCGTTATGAAAATAAAAAAGGGATCAAAATCTAGAAGTGCATATATATATATATATATATGTATAGATGGAGGACCTTTCTAGGAGTAGATGGAGAGGGACAACGAAGGCAGCAGCAAAGACAACACGATAGGCAATCAAGACCCGCATGCTCATTCCAATACTCGAAGCCAGTTTGTAGAATACACTGTTTCCTGCCAATGCAGCCTGAACCACCACCATCATCATCGTTGGCTTCAACTCATGTATAGTGTTCGCTATCTTCCTCATCTCTCTCCACCCACAATGCCAACTCTCTCTCTCTCTCTCTCTCCCTCTATATATACATATGTATAGTTCTTGAGAGAGCAAGAACAAGCAAGAAGATCGAGAACAAACTTCATCTTCTCGCTTGCTTGTTTGGAATTCAATTAAAAAAGAAAAACAACCACACACAATGAATATATATATATATATATGTGGGGAGGGGGGGTAGAGTGAGAGAGGGAGAGAGAGAGTCAAAGTAACTAATTGTTCAATAATGATGATGAAGCAGTAGCAACAAGGCAGTATGAGGAGCCACAGAGGAGGAAAAATCTTATTTTTGGCCAACTTTCGGAGATCCAGCGACATTCAAAAAGAGGTGAAATAAGGCATACGAGAGGCGGAATAAAAATTAGGCTATGAGTTGAATCTAACAACGTGAAAATGAGGTGAAACGAAGTTCCGATGAGGGAGATACAAGTGTTTGAATATGTGAATTTGAATCTGAAAATTTTGCCCAAAAAGAGAAAAATCTTATTTTTGGCCAATTTTCAGAATTCCGACAGCAAGTAAAAAGATGCGGAACAAGGCGTATGAAGAGTGGAATGAAAATTAGGCCATGAGATGAATCTAACGATGCAAAAATGAGATGAAATAGAGTTACGACGAGGGAAATATAAGTGTTTGAATATGTGAGTTTGAATATGAAATTCTATTTAGATCTCCGTTAGTTTAATATAACAGAAATGGACGGAGGGACCGGATTGAAACATGGATGAAACTCTAGGGTTTAATTTGTAGAAATTGAAATTCTGGAGTTTAAATTAAAAAACACACGAAACCCTAGGTTTTTTTTTTTTTTTTTTTTTGCAATTAACCCTTTATATTATAAAATTTAGGATAAATTATACAAATAGCCCCTGTAATTTACACGATATATCAATTTGATCCATGTTTCAATTTGCTTGATTTTGTCCATTAATTTAACGAATTGTGTCATTTTAGTCCAATAAATAACCGTTATTAAGTTTTGGTATATAGAAAGTCAAACTATATGTCAATTTGGTCCATTTAGCTTATACAATGTGTCAATTTGATCCCCGTTAAAATCGAGCAAATTAAAATAATATAGACTAAATTAATACATTGTGTAAACTACAGGAATCAAATTGACACATTGACACATTGTGTAAACTTTTCGTTCACCGAACTTAACAACTGTTATTTATTAGACTAAAATGACATAATCTATTAAATTAAGGGACAAAATCGAGCAAATTAAAACAACAGGGACCAAATTAACACATCGTGTAAACTACAGAGACCATTTACATAATTTATCCCAAAATTTATAGAATATATCATTTATATAAGAAATAAGGTTAATTTGACATGTGTAGTCTTATGACTGGAACATAATTGTTTTAAAAAAACTATCAAAATTATGTTAATAATTTATTTTATTTAAACATAAATGTAATTTTGTTATAAGTTACAGATATCTAAATTAATTTTATGTTTTTTATGAATAATCCATTTGACGAATCTTATAATATGAACGATTCGAATTATTAAGGTGTCGTTTGGGAAGAGCTCATTTGGGCTCTTTTGGCTCTTTAAGCAACAAAAGACAGAATAGACTATTTGAGCCACAACAGACAAAACATCACATCCAACCCATAATCATTACACTCTTCTCTCACAAAAAATGTCAAAAAAGTCAAAAAGTCAAAAAGTCCTTCCCAAACTAAGCTTTTGAACCCAGGCTCAAATAGCCAAAAAAGTCAAAAAACTAAAAAATCAACTCACTTCCCAAACGGAGACTAAAATAGATTCGAAAACACCTTCATGACGAGCTCACAACACCACCTTCTCAGGTTCCGTAAGCTTTAGCTCAACAAGAAATCAAATGGTCTTTTTTCTAACAATCGGAAAGAAAGAAATAAGGAAAGAAAAATTACAGTCTAATAATAAAACTTCAAGTTGTATTACGTTAAGTAAAAGGAAAAATCTCATTTACTAAGTCAATCAGTGACCTTCAAGCAATCAAATAGTCAATCATCCAAATTATTGAGAGATTTTATATTTTATTTTATATTTTTAAATGTTGGGTGGTGATGCAAATATTAGGCAACAATTGAAGTGGGGCTATATATTTCATACACATCAATTTGTTTTCCATACAATTCAACCCTCCTTTCACACATACATCATCATCATCAAACTCCAAATCCCACAAAGCAGACACAAATACAAACTTCACAAGAACACACCACGTCCATGCCCGTCTTATTTCATTGCATTTAAAACCCCAAAATCCACATACGTAAAAACCCAAACCCCAATTTTTTTTTTTTTAATTTTATTTTAATATCAAACTATATATATAAGGGCACTTTGGTTGGGGCTTGGAATTGGAACCTATTTTAGTAATTTTAACAGTTACATGGGTTACACTTGCATGGGTTACAGCTGCAACCATGGCCTCCTTCAGCTCCGGAGCTCTTCTCAGACCCCTCTGAGTTCCTGAAAGGTTGTACAATTTAAAATTCATATATTTTTCATTGGAAAACTAATCAATATGTTTTATTAAAACAAAAACAAAAAAACAAAAAAGTTCAATGATAATTAATAAATACATACATATTCACTGCTGGTGCAACACCAGCGATGGTGGTTGTTGTGGTGGTCTTCTCTATGTCAGGGTACATCGCACACCTGCCAATAAATAACCCAATCAAGGGATTAGAAACAAATACATAACAACATATATGACGGTTATTTTTTGTTTCATTTTATGGATAATATAAACTTAAGTTTTATAAAATGAATAGTTCAAATCATTAAAATAAAACACGTGAATGATCAGCCTCACAGGCCTCAAATTTTCTCATTTGAAAAGTTCTCTTATATATGTTGAACTTTTTATGCAGATTTGGGTTGTAACCCAAGTGATCATGACTTTGACCGGATCGTAGTCAAGTGATCATGCGTAAAGTGAGGTCTTAGGTTCCGAATTAATGGAGTGGGGTGAACCTGTTGTAATGATCTAACTTCACAGACCAAAAAAATAAAAACCCTTTATCGGGTGAGATAAGTCTGTAACACATTTTAACACAAAAATATAAAGGGAAATTCTATGGAAAATGGTATGAAAACAATAAAAGGTCTTTTTAAAGTTTCCATTGTTGTTTGTTTTTGAAAACACAAAAAAAAAAATGGAAATAAAATAAAATAAAATAAAATAAAATTGTAGTGAAGTTGGACATACCCTCCACAGCCGGTACCACAGCTGCAGCCAGAGCCGCAGCCACACTTTCCTCCGCAGCAAGACATTCCTACCTCAAGATATGAAAAAGAGAAAGCTATGGAAAATGGTTTCAGTTTCACCCAAACACACAAAGCTCTTGGATGAGTTTAGTGGGTAGAGTCCTTGACTTATTTATAGAGCAGGTGAAGAAAAAGGGGTATTGATCCAACCGTACACGTGTAAGAATCATATGTCACTATAAAATTAATCTTTACATCTTAATCATTGTAAGTAAAAACATAATTTTAATATATAATCTTTATAAACATAATGTAATGCTATATTTTTGTCATTATAAATTACAATAATGAATATTTTGTTTGAAATAAAAGAATTATAAAAAGTCACATCTTGTACGATATTTTTCTGTAAAATTTCTATTTGTATAACAGTATCCCTTTTTATATTCATGAGACACAAAAAAAAAAATCACAAAAAATCAATATTAAGTAGAAATTTATTTCATTATAATAAAGATTATACTTAAAATGAATTTGAACAATAAATCAATTTATTTATTTATTTTTATGTACATCTCTGTATACCTAACTTTTCAATTCTACTATGTTTATATAGAAGCTACTTTTAAATGGATTTAGGCCTCTTTTGAGAAGGTAAAAAAAAAAAATTAATTTATTGACTTATTTGGATCACATTTACTTTTTTATTTTATTTTTTTGTATGTTTTTTTTTTTATAATAAGTCAATAAATCAAAAAAAAAATTATTTTCCAAAATAGGTAAAATATTTCACTAATTGCTTTTTATGTAATGTAATAACAAAAAATAAGTAAAATATTTTTGACAAAAACTATTTTATATCAAAGCAAACGAAAGCTAAATTTCTTAGCCTTTTTTAGTTGAATTTAAACAATCTGATCCAAATTTAAAACATAGCCAAACTTTCTCATATTTGTAGTCCAACAGAAGAAGTTCATACAACTTCACTTGGGGAAGAAATATTTTCTTCTTTTAAATTCTTTTTGCAATCCATTTTATGTAGGGGTGCTCGTGGTTCGGTTGCGATTGAGGAACCTTCAATTTACCATCCATCCGTTGGATTGGCAGATTGAAAAAATCAATCCGCATTCGTCTACCGGATTGGCAGATGCAGATTGATGGATGGATGCGAATCGGTTTAGTGGTTTAACCTCTTACAAATTTTGAACATAATACAACTTATCAACATTTTTTTTGAATAACAATCTAACTCAACATAATCAAAAGATTATCAAATAAATTGTTAAATATTAAAAATAAATACATATAAGAAAACTTGCATTATCACAATTATTTCATTACTTTTTTTTATATATTATTCAAAAACTATTTAATTTGATTTTTTAAAAAAATTACAAAATTAAATCTTATATTTTTCACACAAAAATACTAAATATCAACATTGTCATTTGACAAAAGGATTTTCAAATTGAAAATACAACAGAATATCTAAACTCTTTTTCAATTAAAAATACAAATAGAATATCTAAACAATTTGAAAATACAAAATCTTACAAATTATTAAAGGCGTTCGCGGTTTGACAGTTCAGTTACAGCCAAAGAAATCTCAAATTCGCCATCTATCTACAACTAGATAGATTAAAAAACAATCAATCTATAGCCATTTACTTTTTATCACACATCTATTTAAAATATGATAGATCAACTCAATTTCATGATTTAAACGAATCAAAATATTCACTATACTTTCCCAATTTCAGGAAGCACCTTATATACCGGCCCTTGGACAAACAAAATTGTACTTTGAATTGACAATTTCTCCCTGTCTCAATCCGCACTTGCATTTTCAAGGGGAAACGTGTTTCGTGACCTACCCTTGCTCCCGCTTTTTTCTTTTAATTATTTATTTATTTGTTAATCTTTTATTTTTATTATTGAATATCTAAACTAGTTTACCAATCTACTGAGACCTTGTTGTTCGTTGATTTTAATACTGTGTTTAATTAGAGAATTTGATGAGAGATTTAAAAAGAAAAATAAAAAAAATAAATGAAATATAAATAAAATATATTTATATTTTATTTAATTTCATACATATTTTTTTTTTCAAATTCATTATTAAATTCCTCAATTACACAACTTAAAAGTCTTTTTAAAAAGTGAAAATAATGATAAAAGTTTATTGAGATAATACTGGCTGTCGTTCTCAATGACTTACTGAGTCAAGAAGATATAATAGAGAAGGTCCCTCGATCAATTTTTAATTCCATTGTCTCCATCCTCCTCCTCAGCTCCTTGAAACATGAAGGAACATGCGAATCAATAAAATATGATTTTGAGAATATAATTTTAAAAGTGAGTTATTCAGTTTTTAAAAATAAATAGAATTTATTAGGGGTGGGCGCGGGTCGGTTGCGGCCACGGAACCTCCAATCCGCCATCCGTCCGCCAGTTGAGAAAATCAATCCGCAACCGTCCGCTCGTCATCACGCATCCGTCCAAAATGCGGCGGATCGGTTTGGTTCGGTCGGTTTTGGCGGATCGGTATATCCGCTGCTCACCCCTAGAATTTATACTATTGAGATAATTATCCAACAATCTCTAAGTGACTCACGCACCCAAGAGAAATTCAATACAAAATTGTGTTTCAAATACTAGACAGTCTTATTGGGCTAGTTGCACCCATTACATGTCTCATTTCGATAATTTGAACCGTTTAATATATAAAATTCGTCGAGTATTTTATTTTTGTAAAATATTACGTTGATCAGATATTGATAGATACTTAATATAACACAATTTTTTCAACAATTTATTTTTAAAATAATAGTTATCACTGATAAAAATATGATTTAATCGACAGGTTAACGATATCTAATCAATGTAATTTTTGACAAAAATAAAATATTTTATAAACTCTACATATTGAATAGTTTGAATCATTGAAATAAAATTTGTAATCAACCTTACAAATTGAAGAATACTATCCAACCTCCTTTGTGAACTGGAGAAAAGATCTGCCCTTATTTCTAATGCGATCACTAATTTGACTTTTCCTCATGTGGGCCCCTGGCTTGGCTTATCAATTCCGCCAAAAAAAATTTTAAAAAATTGAAATTGTCAATTGTTGCACAGAAATCTGATGTAAATTTATCCCTAGCTCCACACATACAAGATATTTTACTTATTATATTGGTGTTAAATTCGTATTCTCATCCCTATAAGTCTTTAAGGACAAAAGTGAAATTATTGGGATCATAAGGGCATTTACCACTTATGTGTTGAAATTTGTAATTTAATTTATTTATTCAATTTTTTTTATTTGTTCATTTTTTTGAACATATCTGTTCAAATTGATATCTATTTGTTGAAATCTACCAAAATTATTCACTGTGTTTGATTTGAGTTTTTTGGATTAAGTTTTTTGAAAATTAATTTTTTTAGTTTTTGTGTTTTTTTGTTTTTAGTGAATATTTTTAAAATTTTAAACATTTTTTTACTTTTTTAGATGCACCTTACTTAGATGCATCTAAAAAGTAAAAAATTTGTGAAAAAATATTTTAAAAAATTAAGAAATACATAAAAATACAAAAAAATGTACTGAATTCTTGTAATTTTTTTTTATATTTTTGGTATTTAGTGAATTTTTAAAAGATTTGTTTTACAATTTTTTTACTTTTTAGGTGTATTTATGTTAGGTGTATCTAAAAAGTAAAAAAATTGTTTAAAATATTAAAAAAATTCAGTAAAAATAAAAAAATACAAAAAATAAGAAAGTAGAATTTTCTGAAAAGTGTTTTGGAAAACTGGAAACCAAGCAAGGTGATTTTTTCTATTTGTTAAATTCATTAAACATTTTTTCTATCTATTCAAATTTTTATTTTATCTATTCAAATTCTCATACACACACACACACACATATAAAGGAGAGAGAGAGGTTTTGTCAAAATCTTTTTGTATCTGTTTAATCAATGTCGTGCATCTTCAACCCAAACCAACTAGTCGAGTTCAGACCCATTGCCAACAATAGAAACTGTACGGGGGCGAAATATCCTCTGTTTTCCGTACTCCTTGGTCGTTAAGCTTCTTGCGACGGCGTCTATCTCTGCAACACAAAAATGGTGAGATGCCCGGCGGTGGTGTGCCGGAAAGACCCTCCGACGATCAAGTCAGGCCACTAGCTAAAGAAGAAGGCTATCAGAGAGAGAGTTTTTGATAGGATGAATTCGCTTACCTCCAACGTCCCTCTTCCTCCATATTTCTAGGCTGGCCATGCAGTCTCAAGATTGTGTGCGCACTACCTCTGCTGTCCTTCCCTGGACAGGTGGCAGTGCTCGCCTCTCACCACCTTACGCGTGTAAAGGCTTAGTCCTCCCTCCAGTACACACAGAACTGCCCAACGGTATTGAGGCGTGCGTGGAGCGGATGTCCTCTCCTTCACACCATTAGCCCAGGTGGCATACTTAACCGGAGTACCATGACCGGCCTGTCACTTGTGGAGAGTCGCTATTACATGCTCATAACCGAGCTATATGTCGCCGACCTATAACTTGGAATCAGGCGAAAGCCTGCCCACCTCGGCCGAACTATCATTGGTCGGTTCATCATGACCATCCGGTTGCGAGGCATGCCGGCCTCCAACCGGTCTACCTTCAATCTTGGTCACACGAAGCTACTTTATATCGACTGACCGGTCCAAGGTGCACCGACCTTGATCGCGCCCACGGACTAGCTCGGGCTGCCTTTTAGCCCGGTCAGCATCCGCTAACCCAAACTCCGTCCAACACGTTCAAGACGCAGCTCAGCTATGCCAGTTGGTGCCTAACCGGTCAATATTTCCGACCGTGCAAGGCAGGCCGCTGGCCATGTCAACAGAGATTACCTCGGCGCTACGCGGTCCGTCACGTCTGACGTTATCTCAGCTCGGCCGTACAGTCAGGTGCAAATCTCCCCTCTCAGAAACCATGGAAGGGGAAGAGTGATTGAGATTAAGAAATAGATTTTGAGATTCGCACAATAAACATTACAAGCCTGTGTTGAGGTGATAGACAAGAGGCAGTGGAGGTCGAAGTATGATCCGTGGCGTAATTGAGATTCAAACGCTAAGGGTGTGTTTGGTAACGTTTACGTTTTCAGTTTATATTTACAAAAATTTTATA